CACACACACACACACACACCAGCACCCATGGGTTATGGGTTCCATTCCTGGTAAAGGGCACATACCTGGATTGTAGGTTTGATTCACAGCCTGGTTGGGGCGTGAATCTCTCTCCCCATCCCTCCCTCCTTTCCCTCCTTTCTTTCCACTCCCCATCTCTCCCTTCTTTCCACTCTCTCTGAAAAGTAATAGAAAAATATGTCCTCCAATGAGGATTAACAAAAATAAAATTCTATGGGACTCATCTGATTCCACATAATACAGAATTTTTATAAAATATAAAAATTAAAATTGTAAGTGAAGAATTTGCATAATATAGTAGAAAGTACAATGGGAAAAATTAAGGCAGGAAGGTGGAGAAGAGAGTTGCGATTTTAAATGGTGTCCACAGAAGGTCTTACTGAGGAAGTGACATTTGACCAATGCCTCAGAGTTGAGATAGTGAACCTTGAGAAAATAGTACAAATATCCTGAGGCAGGAATGTACAGGTATATTTTAGGAATACCATGAGTGGGCGCTAGAAGCACAGTAGGTAATAAGAATAGAGAATCGGAAAATAGCAAAAAAATAACCCTTTACAAGCTTTCTAAGAACTCTGGCTTTTATTCTGAGCTGGATCACTAAATATACTGCTTCTGCATTTTACATAAAAGCATTCTGCCACCTATTTAAATAGAAGAACCTTATTTATCTTTTTAAAAATTTTAATGAAAATCTTTGAGTACTTTGTAACTGTTATTGTCAGTATTTATACATAGAATATTGGATAAGTCTATAATATAAATTTATATTGTAACTGCATTTTATTTGTATATGGTTGTAATTTTCAACAGAAAAGCCATTCTGAGAACTTTATAGCCAGTTTGGGGAGATAGGCTATTCACCACAGTTTCTCATTTCTATTAAAGATTAGTGAAAATTAGAAACTATCTTTATAGTGAATAAATGCTCAATTTCTTGATTTTATACTGTAGTGATTTATAATAAAATTATTTAATGCATTCTGTTTGCAGTTTCTCATTTTAATTAGCTGTACAGTCATTTAAGCAAGGCTGGTTGAGGGTCAATTATTATAGTTCCTAATAGAATGGCTACTTTCTTCAGTCTACAAGTCTATTTTAAGACTAAGTACTTTTAATTACATATCATCAATTTCCACAAATGAAGTATTTACATTATCCACCAAGGAAACTTAAAAATAATCTATATCTAAAGTTTTCATTTGTAAGTTGCTTGCTTGAAATTCAGAGTATTTTCCAGAAGTAACAGTAAGTTTCTGTGAAAAGACTTTTGAACACACACCTGAGACAAAAGGAAGCTAGGTAAATAGGGGCAGGACCACAGGAAGGGAAATGACACTGAAAACCCAGCTGGACAGAGTTACCGGGACAACCCAGCTGGGCAGGAAAGGACAGCACACACAGGAGACAAACGTTAAAATGTATGGATGTTGCTAAGACAGGCAGCTTGCTGATAACCAATCACCAGGTAGTAAGGGGTAAAAACCAATCCCAAGGATGTTGCTAAGACAAAATTCTTTGAAAGGACCAATCAGGAATTAACAAGCATACCTAAAAAAAGTGCTCGCACTTTCTCTCTCCCACCCTCCCTGTGCTAGATTCTTGAGTTAACGGCAGGAGATGCACTCCCCATCGCATGGCTTATGACCATGTGGGCCTCAACACATGGACTATAACACTTTAATTACCTCTGATACTGAACTACTCCCGACTGTAACAAGGAAAAGGAAGCTCTGACACTGGTCTGCTCCTGGAATCCCAGTTGTACCTTTTTCAGGATTGGCTTCTCTCAATAAACTTCAGTTCCACTAATCATTTATGCCCATGACTTCATTCTTCAATGTCATGAGACAACCAACTTGAACTCAAACACCCACATTTCAGTTTCACACCCATTGTTTGTCAGGGTAATCCAATCTCACAGAAACTCACATAAAATTACCCATCTTAATACTTTTCATCCTAGCATATCATGGGCCATAGTAAGTGTTCAAAGGACAGCAATGCTCATGAACTGAGGTGGTTTTGTAGGTTTGGCCAAGAGTGGGGGAGACTTGGACCTTAACGAATTATAAGATTCAATAAGGCAGAGGGAAAATAGTAAATAGAAATTAATGTATAACACTAACCTCTATGAATACACATTAGAGACATTTTAGCCCTGTACAACATACATATATCCAGTGAGTAAAAGTTTTTGTCCCTATTTAAAACAAACAAACACATAATTTATTCTCTGCTGTGAAATACTTGTATGTACACAAACCTGGTAATTGCAGAAATCACATAATGGAAATATGTATCAAACCAGTCATTAATTCTGCTATTAAGTTGGTCAATTCAATCAACTGCATGCATTTATATAATAGGCAATAAACCCAAAATACTCTGACTCATCAAGCTCATTAAAAAAAGCAAAACATGTTTTATATGTAGGTATTAAAATAAAATACCACCCCAGCCAGTTTTGCTCAGTGAATAGAGCATCAACCTGTGGACTGACAGGTCCCAGGTTCAATTCCAGTCAAGGGCACATACCCGGGTTGTGGGCTCGATCCCCAATAGGGCGTGTGCAGGAGGCAGCCGGTCAATGATTCTCTCTCATCATTGATGTTTTCATCTCTCTCTACCGCTCCCATCCTCTCTGAAATCAATAAAAATATATTTTTAAAAATAAAAAATACCAATATATATAAAATTACCAATATACCTAATGTAGAAAAGAACACAGTAAGTTAAAAATAAATCATACATGCTCTCCATAAAATATCTTGCAAACTGTATCTGTTCTTATGGCCTGGATGAATAAAATAGAAAGCTTTTTCTGTCTCATGGTCATTTTATAAGCCCTTTCTTGGAAACAAGGAGTAGATAAATTATTTACAAACTAATGGGTAAAAAAGTTTTCCTACTCAATGAGAAGTTTATGTTAAGCGAAAATTAGTTGTACAACAAAAGTTTCTTTCTTTAAGAAACTTCAAGGGCACCTTAGATGTAATGACTCCTAAGGACAAATATTTACATACTGAATTTATACTTGTCAAAGCTTTTTCACAAATGTTAAACTCCTTTGACCCTCATCAGTCCAATTAAAGTAAGACAGATTATTTCTGTTTCACATTACTGATAATAAAAAATCTAACACACATATCTAGGAATTAAATTGTTTGGTGAGGCATGGACTGACCAGGCTTTCTAACTTAACTTTCTGTATTTTGTAAGTTTTGCTGGCCTCAGACAGATAGCGCCTTCCAGGACTAGCAAATTCTTAGAGACAGCTAAGGGCTCTGGCATAGAGAGTATCTTTCATATGCAAGCCTTGTTATACCTTTTTATGCCCAAAGGAATTTAGCTATTTGGTCTACTTTACTTAGCTTGCTATGGAACTACATAAAATAAAACAAAACAAACAAACACACACACACACACACACACACACACACACACACACACACAAACAAAACACAACAACACCTAACTGTGTGTAGGTGGGTATGGGTTTTTAGAGAACCCTTAGGCATAAATGGATTAAGTACTGTTCAGAGCTCTTTACATTTCCTATCACTTCTAACAAACATTTGCGTTAAATGGGACTGCCCAAGAGATCCATTAGTGGAGAAATGTTCTTGGGTGCTGTAAAGCATTAGGCTGTATTCACACACTTTGACAACTTCAGTCCTGTGCCAAGTGTTCTTTAGTGGGTAAAAATCCCTGCCCCTGTTTAAGACAAGAAAACACATAAACCATTTTCTAATGTGAAATATTTAGATTTATGTAAACATTGCAATTGATGAAATCTGTCATTAATTGTGCTGTAAAAATAGTTGGTCAATTCTGTCAGCTTCTTGCTTTTACAAAATAGGAACCAAACTTGAAATATTCCAACTCTTCTATCTCATGTTGTTTATTTGATTTTTAAATATTTTAATATAATATAAAAATAACTCAGTAAAGTAAAACTCAAATTATACATGTATTAAAAGATAAACTGAGGCAGTCATTGGGGAATCAGATGGCCTTCCTTTTGAGGCAACAGA